TTCCCAACAACGCAGTACGTCCACATATATGAAGACATAAATTACTACTATGTATAATACTATGACAAAACTTAATAAAACGTTTATGAAGCTGAGTTTTAATTGACAAATCCTGATATATAATATTTAATAAACTATTGTGGGTTCTTGGGGAAATGTTGAATACTTCCCTAACCTGTTTTCTCCAGGCTACATAAATACTCTCTAATGACTTTTGTGAGAAATCCCATACAGGGGCATACAATAAGTTTTGAATAATTTATATTTAACTTTAGATGAGGAGAATGTAAAATTTCTTAATGTTACATTACTTTTAACAGTAACATTATTTATACATTGACGTAAATGTTCATATTTTGACGAACTATGAAGCAGATTTCCTAAATGGGATTCAGATTCGACAAGTTTGATGGGGAGGCCGTTTATAAGAATGGGTTTAAGATCCTGATTTCCAGTTTCAGAGGGTTTGCATGGAAAATATATAAGTCTGCTCTTGTCGGGATTAAAAGTGAGGTTATATTCTTCAGAATATTTACTTGCTATGCGCAATAAACCATTAAGAGAGTTTTTACTTGGGGCGATTAGTGTGAGGTCATCAGCATGACGAGTGCACCGACATATACATTCCCAATATGACAGCCAAGTTTACTTTGTCTGCACCTTCTCAGAAGTTCATCGATATAGACGGTAAATAGTATTGGAGAGAGTACTCCCCCTTGTTTGACACCGTTAGTTACAGTGAAGGAGTTGCAAACTGTTTTGCCACATCTTACTCGTATCCTCTGGTTGAGGTATAAACAAGGTAGAAATACAGGACACAGACATCTAGAACGTAGCAGTTGGAAGAATTTTACATAGTTAACCTTATCAAAAACTTTGCTAGCGTCTAGTAAACTAACATACACACTAGAGTTGCGACTATTATAATAATTGATGGTTTCATTAAGTACAAAAGAGCAATGACTTGTAGAGTGTTTCTCTTTAAAACCAAATTGTTGATCAGAACATTGAAACACGTGATTAAACTTATCTAATATAACTTTGTCAAATATTTTACTAAATATTTACTAAATATTAAATGGTCTGACTATTTTTATTCGAGCCAATCACGATGGCGAACCAGGTAAGCAATGTACTTACTCGTTCGAATGGGACGGAAAAGCAAGATCATGTTTACACGTTGGTGTGTACGTTGTTATTCGTTATAAGAGTAGATCGTAGAGATGTAGTTCCGTCAACATATCCCTCATAGTACACATCATGGTGTATCCACGTCTTCATTTCCCATGTCACCAATGTCAAGGACATTGTAAGCGTAGTTCGCAGAGCAGCTGTTTCATCAAAATATTACGTTATGGTGTAAGCCTTCACCCCCCCCCCCCGCATTGATGCTGAAACGTAGAACGTTAAACCCCATTTCATTCATTCATCTATAATCAACCAGAAATGTTTTAGAATGTGTTAATTATTTTACAGGGTGGACCGAGATATATTTTGTGGATGGCGACAGTTTATTTAAATTTAACTTGAAGTCTGAAACCAAAATAAAACTGTTAACTGGAACAAAACACGCTAAAGATATATTTGTCGATTCAAGACGCAACACGTTATACCTGTTGGTCAACAATTCTATGAAAAGTTTCAAAACTAATGATACAAGTTTAACAGACGGTAGAACATTATTCACAGATGAATTTGACTATGGTAAATATGCATATTCATAAATCAAGTACATGTATATGTAAAATATGTAAATAATATATAGATTTGAAATTGATACATCCGTAAACGATATAATGATAAAAGTATGCCGACATAAACTTATTTCAACACTGGTTTAATAACAATTTAACATTGTGTAAGTATTTTTTGCTCATCGGATGGGGAGCTTTTCAAAATAATCGCATTGTATAGAAATGGACAACTGTTTTAAAGTTACAATTGTAAAAGTTAAGATTGTCTATCGTTACATAGGTGATATAAATAAAAGAGAACCTATACCCAATATTTATCAATATTTTGATATTAATTGTCAAAGCTTTATTTATCCCAACTTCTAATACCTTGTCTTCATCTATCACAATAAGTGTGCATACTTTTCTAGCTAAATGAATGTTATAATATTTAGGAAATAAGTCATAAAAATTAGCATTTTTACATGTGTAACTAGCCAGTTTAACATGCGTAAGTAAGACATTGCATGCATAGAAGTAATCATACGTATTACTAGGTTAGAGGTTACAATTATGACGAAAATTCCGCTCCTTATTATACCGCCATATTAGTTCCTGCTTTCTCCACTCTCTGGGTATGCGCCTTGCAGTTTTAACCCTAACCCTAACCCTATGAGCAAAATGGTGCCCGAGCACCAATGTTCTTCATTAGCCCTGTCCGTGCAGAGAATAGGGCGTTAAACGCGAATTCATTACATTAAATTTATTTCAGATACTTTCGTTGTAATTGTCCATGACTACATGTATTATAATAACCTGAAACGCATAAAGAAAGTAAAAGTCGATACCAGAACACCAACAATTGAAATAGTCAAGATATTTAAGGGATATGTCAATTATATGGAACTTCATACGGGCATCGATAACATCAAATGGTAAATATATACTTTTTTATATTATGAATTGTTTTAAAAGAATGGGACAAATGGTATAACACGTGCGCGTTGGATCAATGAGACAAGTGACAAGGTTTCGACTAGCCGCTTGTCTTATTGCTAAAGACCCCTACGCAGATGCGAATAATTGAAATAAAATTGAACTATATGTTAGTCCCAAAATGTTTTATTTTGTGTCCAGTGGACGTTACCGAAGCTCCTCCTCTCGACTATTTACACCAAGTCTAGATTACTTCGACACCCTATGTCTGGATTGAATATTTATAATGTTCTATTTCTAGACTGATAGTTATAATGTTCTATTTTTAGACTGATTAGTTATAATGTTCTATTTCTAGACTGATTAGTTATAATGTTCTATTTCTAGACTGATTAGTTATAATGTTCTATTTCTAGACTGATAGTTATAATGTTCTATTTCTAGACTGATTAGTTATAATGTTCTATTTCTAGACTGATTAGTTATAATGTTCTATTTCTAGACTGATTAGTTATAATGTTCTATTTCTAGACTGATTAGTTATAATGTTCTATTTCTAGACTGATTAGTTATAATGTTCTATTTCTAGGCTATATGTTTTAATTGGCAAAGGAAATCTGGTAAAATGTACCCTTGATGCCATTCAATGTGTTTCTATAAGAGTATTTGAACATGTTCTTATAATAATGTTCAAGTTTTATGGTGAGTTATTTATTCTTACGCTACATCTAGAAATATGGAATTTATGTTTTTGTTTTAAAATGCTCTAAAGGTTAGGGTAGGATCACAGCCCAGCTTAACCGGAGCGCGCCCTGTACCTGACTAGAATCGCGGGGCCCTTAACGCGACGAAAAGATTAGTTCATATCCTTTTGAATGGCACACATGTGTAACACACAATTAAACGACCTGTAGTACAAGAATAATTACATAATAGCTGATCACATATGAAATCCATTTAGTTCCGAATGGCATACAATGCGCGGAAATGACATATAATGGCAGGGAACTGTTTTTACATGTGAAGATTATAACAGAGAAAGTTGAGGAATTGCAGACTCACCCAGTCTCCGAACATTGCGCCGCCACATATTAAGCCTAGACCGATCTCCGAGTGGAACTTCACAGAGAAAGTTGAGGGATAGCTCAGTCTCCGACCTCGCGCCGCTAGATCGATTACCGTGAAACTTTCATTTTTTTCTTTCTCTTTTTCCCATGAACCGCCCCCCCCCCAAACCTCGGGGCTCATGGTCTGGGACCCTCAGGCCCATGCCTAGACTGGCCTTTGGGTTGGATGCAATGAAATTTGATTGCAGAATCTAAATGTTCTGGCCAACAAAACAACACGAGGGGAAATAAATGGAATTTGCATATTGACTTCCGATGGATTACATGTTGTCGACTGTGTATTTATTGGTTGAATTTGTATTTCTGAACATATTTTTAAACCAATCCATGTTTCTTCACTACGTCAATATAACGTTTCAAGCTATGCCCGAAAGCTCCCTAAGCTCGAAAGCTCCAAAACACCTGCACCAAATGCTCTAAAATGCATACACTCCCAAAATAACTACACTGAAAAAACACTTGTGTTGGATCTCAACACAAGTACTTGTGTTAAAACTAATCTACACAAGTTATGTGTTGTTTTGCATTGCATTAACACAAACTTGTGTCGATTTATAAAATCTTGTGTGTTTTTTCATATCATTAACACAAGTAATGTGTACCTTCCACGATTTGTTTTCTTTTTAAGAAAAAAACTCCATACAAAGTCTGAATTCGGGAGTCGTCAAGTTTTAAGAAAAGTAATAAAGGGCTTAATTCACATCTCGAAAATCACTGGAAGGGAGTGAGTACCAATTAATCAGACAATTGCCAGACAGACTTGAATGTTAATTGGTGTTAAGTTGTCTGTATAGTTAAAATGTCTGTCTTTTTTTATTGACCCAATAAACTGATAGACCAAATGAATATATAGTGTACATGTGATTTTCAGCACCCTGGTGTTTTCGAAAATTGATTCAATGTGCAATGAACAAAAAAATGAGTAAAACTCTTAATAATGTAATTGGTTGATGTAATCGAAATTGGACAGTATTGGTTAACTGAAAAGTAACCAATCAAATTTAATTGATCATCCACGTGTATCTCATAATCGACTTATTGATATAATGGTTCTCCAAGTTATCTATACTTTTTGTCTGCGATATCACTTCGGTGGAAGCGGGCGTAAAATACAACTAACTAAGAAGAAGTATCTATACTTTAGTCATTGCGACAAATTCTTTCTTTGATATTATATCAGCGACATTCAGTTAGATGTAGTGACGTTAGCATCAACAGAGTGCTTTAGCCGTGATATTTTTTTTAAAAAAATAATAATGGTCACATAGAATACCAGACCGCAGGTTTGTAAATTTTTACAAAAAATAAAACCGTGTATTTAATTTAGCATGTATATATTGCTTCTATGTATATAATAATTCGTTTCGTTTAAAACAGTCAGATTTAGAACCACTGCCACTGACTGCACCGGAATTCTATTTATATAATGGCGCCACAAAGAAATTTTTTTTGATGTGTTCTAAAAGTGTTCCGCTAATTCAGCAATCTAATGAATCTGTCTTAATTTTTCTGAAATCGTGCTTAATTATTATTAGCTAATCGGCGCTACACCGTTGTTCAAATACTTATAATTGCAAGAAACCCCCGACTAGGACCAGCAGGTAAGAATCTGTCTTGATTTTATAGTAATGCCCGGTTGCAATTTTTGGCCGCCATCTTTGATTTTTATAGACGTTCGGGCCAAAAAAAAGGAGAAATGTATATCCAGATATGGACTATAGCTAGATACTAACTTTTGTGTTAGTTGTTTATTTGAAATGTAATCTTAATATTTCTGTAAAAGAAAAAAACAACAACAAACAAATCAGCCTTTTTTTTTATATCAATGTCATCAATGTGTAGGCCTAATAATTAGACTTTCAATGATTCAGAAGTTTCTCTACAGTTTCGTTATTTTTTTTCCAGTCATTGATGTTAGCATATGTACTACACAAAGAAAAACAGGTAACAGAATTTCATTTCCTTTTAATATATTTTTTAAATAATGGCCAATAATTGTTATTGTATGTAACAGGAAAAGTATTTATCTCTGTAGAGAGAGGGCGAGTAAATGGGGTTTAAAATTCACTAAATTCACTTGACACAAACTATGCCATTTATTTCCTTGTATTAAATTGGTCGAATCAATGATGGGTTAGTTGTATTTTACGTCCGCTTCCACCGAGGTGATATCGCAGACAAGGTCGAATCAAGTAGGCCCATGCTTTATGTCCTAGAATCAAGTAGGACGGGTAGTCTTCTTCCGTTTCCGCCCTTTTCCTGAACACTGTCTCATTCTATTGCCATCTGTGTATGTTGTGTTATATTAATTCTGCATAAACCTAGAGTTGTTGTTAGTGTTTGTCGGATAGATCCTTTATACTTACTGGCGCTAGGTAATTTTGAGGCTAATATTGTTCAATTTTATTTGAATGATTTGCTTGCGCGTACCGTAGGAGTGTATTAGAAACAGTGTTCGCGCAGGTTCGAGAACGGCTGAAGAACATGAAAACACTTTCATGAGTCTCGAACATGAGAGAACAATATCCATGGTAACAAGATGAATTAAATTTATACAATCTGTTACGATAACTTGTTTGGTATTGACTTCGCTATTAGGCATACTTATGATAAATTATGACTCCATTTTACTCCTTTTCAATTCTTTGGATGACGATTACATCACCTTTTGATACGCCCACATGGAAATGTGGTCGCATATTGTCATCGCCCTCGTCCGTAGGTTTGTCCGTCGTCTACAGACCTGATTATTTTGAAATTGATATGTTGTTTATTTTAATGAGATGAATCCTATTTAATTTCAATAATTTCCGTTAGTTTCTTCTGGAGTTATGGCCCTTGTTTCACTTTGTGAAATTCATTTGCATCTTTTAAATTAGTAAAACGAAGACGTCTATTAAATTTCTGCGATTTCCCTGAATTATGTCTAGAGTTGTGGCCCTTGTTTCACTTTTTCGAACCTTGTGAACGCGCGAACAACAAAAATATCATCCGATTTGTATGCATTATTTAAATTAGTAAAACACAAAACAAAAAAATCTGTCAAATTTCAACAATTAAGGCCCTTGTTTCAGTTTGTAGAACCTTTGTAAACCCACAAACGACAAAAATTATAATCTTTTCTTGTAAATGCCCACATTACCTACAAAAGAATGAATATGCGACAATCCCTGTTGACTGAGCAAACGATTAAACTGCTGTGGGCATATGTTTCGTTGCCTGGCAACCTAACTTATTTGATGTTATACTGGCCACATACTACATCCAATTTTCGAACGGTATTAAACTTTTAAATTAATAAATGCACCCATGATGCTGTTTTCTCAGCAGTTATCGATGCGTCGACCATGTTTGTTCTCCCTCACACCAGCTATGAGGTAGTGTGGGATTTGAGAACGGGAACGTGTTCGTGAACGCATTCCAGACTGCTCAAGTCCGACAAGAACCCACCGGAACACTGTTTCGAATACACCCTAGGGGTATTTAGCAAAGGGAGGAAACCGGAGGACCCGGAGAAAACCCACAAGGCTGGACAGGCGACCTTATTCCTTATCACATTCAAGTGGGGAATCACATAATAATGGCTTATTTCAAATAAGATATTTGCATATAAAGAAAGTAGGCCTACAGCCTCTTTCAAATGTGATATTTGCATATAAAGAAAGTACAAACTTAAATCGTCAGTACTGGATAAACTAGCCAAAGGATTCGGCTGAATCAATTGGCGCTAAACTTCACCTAGTTTATCGTCTGATTTTAGAATTCATTAGCCAATCACCACTCATTTATATCGAGTGGGTATCACAAACTAGCAGTCGAACTGTGACACGGGTGCTACAGCCAACAAATTCCAACCACCATACTATCGGCTTAAATGCACGCCAATTGGACCTCAGGTTTTGTGTTCCATTGAAACTACTAGAAATGAAATGGGGTTTAACGTCCTACTATTTTGCTCCGAACTGGGCTAATGAAGACAGGCATACACCACACAGTGTGCTATGAGGGAAATTTTGCCCGGACAGCGGCACTGCGGTGTATCGAATTCCAACTGTCAAGGGATCTTTTACGTGGACGCCAACGTGTACACGGGACCTCGTTTTTTCGTATCATCCGAATGACTAGACAACTGTCCTTGTCAGGCCCTCCATCCTGCATCACTGACAAGGGGGAACCACGCCGGAAAATCTGGGTGAACTTTCTCGGCCAATGCAGGGATCGAACACCCTACCTCCAGGCTAGCGAGCCAGCGTCTTACCCACTTAGCCACCATGACGACTAGACAGGGAATCCATGCTGAAAAATCCAAATGAGCTTTCTCGGTCAACACTGGGAGCAAACCTACAAACTCCCGGGTAGCTATAACATAGTTTGAGTTAATAGAAATAAAACATGATCTGGATGCAACATTTTATTCTAGCATACTAGATATACTATAAAGTCGTACCTGGTCAGCCGCCAAAGCTGTTCTCATTTACATGAAAAACCAAAGCCAATTTATACTAAATTCACTTTGATAACACGGGTAATTAATAATATGGAACAAAAGGACTTATGTAAAGACTACATAATTAAATCATTTGTCATTGATAGATTATCTCACTATAAGCATATGGCAGGCTTCTGAACAATTGATGTGTGACAGCTAACGCTAGTAAACGTCATTAGTGATCAGCGGATTATCTAACTTGACCATTATACATATGGCAGCATCTGGTTCTTTATTAAATGAACAATAGTGTGGTCAATTAGAGAACAGTGGAGAGTTTATTACACATGCGGTCATAGGATAATTATAATCTTTTACCTATCACTGTCTCTCACTCACACTATGTAACAATACCTCCATTGCCAACAGTTTGTGAAACAAACAAAAAAAATATAATCACCCTATCCTTAATGGATATAAAAAAGTAATATATATATATATATAAAATTATTTGAAAAGTTCCTCTGAAAAATTGTTATAATGATGATCCAATTTTAACACATTAATAGTTCACAGTGTACACTAATTATCCACGGAATAAAATAAAACACACACAACAGCAACAACAGGATCCACAAAATTATCGGCACATCTATTCAGATCTTCTATATACAGGCACGTTCAACGTTGATTCAACAGGAACTATTTATATTTCCTATAACTGGAACAGCCAGTTTGTTCCGTATATCATTTGTATCAATTTTCTTCCTCTTACGACAAAGTTAACGTAGGATAAATTAACTTTTCTTTTGGTGGTGTGGAGCTAATATCTTCTCCTTGTAGCGTAATTTCGCCCTCGGTCTTCGCCGACACCATCTCGGTCAGAGCAGAATACGTTGCTCTGACTTCTTTGTTATTTTCGTATAATTTGGCTGATTTCTCATTTCTTTTTTTAATACATTTTACTAGTAAGTAAATACCAGTAATTATTCCCAAAAGTATTCCAAAACCGCTTACAACAAAACTTAAATGAGGCCATGGCTTGTCAACACTTATCTTATTTACACTTCTCAGTTGATTTACTAAATCTTTAATACGAATATTTTTAATGTTTTTAAGTTTAAAGGGAATCTGTGGAATTGTGACATTTGGAAAGGCTACTGTTAATGGTTTCCATAATTTAATGCTTGAAATATTGAAATGCATATGTATATTTCGAATAGAATTTTTAATGAGATAGTTACTTTCCTTCGTATAATATGGTAGTAACGAGAGATATTCATTAGATGCAGAGCATGACATATTCAATTTTATAATATCTATGGGAGGATGTGCAACTAATTTGTGTCCAGAATTCGAATGTTTACCATAAAAACAAAGAAGAGAAAACCTTAAAATTTCTGTAGTTGATATAGCCCAATAACCATCCGTTAAATATTCAGCCAATGGTAGAATTATTCGAGGTCTAATATTAACATTACAAACTTGTTTTACTAATTTAGAATTTTGCATAAACAAAGCTATAATACATAATTTACTTAAATTTATTGGATAAAGAGGACTTTTAATAGGACAAAATTTTACAACCCGATTTTTGCATTCTTGAACTTCAGGTTCAGATAATAGCGCATACTGAGTTCTTTCAGCATTAACAGCAAACATTTGACTTTCTAGTTGATAGTTAGCGACCATACTAGATAAATCGGATGTTTTATCAATTAAATGATTAGATGTCATAGGCGCTGGTAAATTGTGAGCGTAAAATATTTTAAGTTGCTTGTTAGAATCTAAAAGAGGAATATTCACAACTATAAAAATATGATCAGAGTCGATGACTGTGGTACAAGTTAAAAATTTATAATATTGCCAAAGTTGAGATGACGGATCTTTTGGTAAATGAACCGCATTAGATAATTTAGATCTAATTTCTATTAACATTGGATACCACATAAAATTTATGTCGAATTTTACTGTGTCCTATTTTAAATGTGAAATTTACACATCCATGAATAATAAGAGCATCTCCGTTAACAGATTGTAGTTTCACCTGTTCTTTAATTATTTCCGGTTTAAATTTTAAATTTTGATAAACACGATAATTCATTATTCTTACCTCTGCGCCGCTATCGATTAAGGACCTGAAACGTTGCTTTCCTACTGTTATTAAACACGAACTTGGATTTTTTGAAATATTTAAATTAAATAAAGGCAGGTTTAATGAGCTCTTTTCATTAGCTTCAACATGAAAAGAGCCTTTTAGTTTAAATGTTGTTTTCGCATTGGCCTACCCTGATGTCTCGTTGATTTATTCATAACTCTTGATTGATTTGAATAATATGCAGGCTTATATTGACAAAAACGACTTAAATGCCCTGGCTGATTACAATTCCAACAAATTATATATGATTTCGAATTGTAATGAGATTGATTTGGGTAATTATTAGAATTGAACCTAAATTGATTTGGTTGACTATTAAAATTTGACCTGACTTTACTTGCACTATTGTCATACTTTCTTTTATTAGAGATTGTATTAATAGTTGCTGCAGAACGACATTCATGGGTTTTATGACCATGTTTATTACAATTTAAACATTTTCGCATAGGTCTTAAATGATCTACTTCCATGGGTTCGTGACAGTGATCTGAAATATCTGGATTCATCCTTAATGCAAATCGTTCTTGTAAATTTTGTTCCGTCATTGCCAAAACAGTTGCCTCTTGTAACGTAGCAGGATTTTCTCTCATTAATTTCATTTTTAATTGAACATTGCCTATTCCAGTTATAAAACAACCTACTAATTGTCGTTGTATTGGTACTAACACAATTTCTTGTGCATTGTATGCTTTTTTAGCTAAATCTAATAATCTCTCAGCAAATATCTGAACATTCTCGTATCTACCTTGACGGGCGTTTTGTAAAACTACTAAATCATACTGAGGGTCAGCAACTGAACCATATCTGTTCGATAGTTCTTTTTTTAATTGTTCCCAAGTACAATTTGGATTGTCGGCCAAATGTCTACTTAAAAAGTCACTAACAGAACCTTTACTAGATTGATAAGCGATTAATTTCACTTTTTCAATGGCAATTTCAGCTAAAATTGCATATTTCTCTATGCTTTTTATCCAAGTTTCAAAATTTTGTCTTTCCCCTGAATATGTTTCGACTAACTGAGAAACGCCATGGTGTTTTAAAGTAGTTGACAAGCCTTTTAACTCCCCAGTTAAACCTTGAAATAGCGCAGAAACATCTCCTTGTTCAGCCATTTTTACGAAAAATAACAAATAACAAAGCTAACGTACCTTTCTGACTTTGACTGGTTCTGTACTTGGTTCAAACTGGAGAGAATTCGGCTGCCACTACTCTATTCTGTATCTTTCCATACAACCACAGTTGTATCCTGGTCACGGTCACCAAATTATGATTATAACATAGTTTGAGTTAATAGAAATAAAACATGATCTGGATGCAACATTTTATTCTAGCATACTAGATATACTATAAAGTCGTACCTGGTCAGCCGCCAAAGCTGTTCTCATTTACATGAAAAACCAAAGCCAATTTATACTAAATTCACTTTGATAACACGGGTAATTAATAATATGGAACAAAAGGACTTATGTAAAGACTACATAATTAAATCATTTGTCATTGATAGATTATCTCACTATAAGCATATGGCAGGCTTCTGAACAATTGATGTGTGACAGCTAACGCTAGTAAACGTCATTAGTGATCAGCGGATTATCTAACTTGACCATTATACATATGGCAGCATCTGGTTCTTTATTAAATGAACAATAGTGTGGTCAATTAGAGAACAGTGGAGAGTTTATTACACATGCGGTCATAGGATAATTATAATCTTTTACCTATCACTGTCTCTCACTCACACTATGTAACATAGCAAGCCAGTGCCTTACACACTAAGCCACATGGCTCTCTTCTAATTACTGTGACAGTCCAGTCACATGACAAACAAGGGTTATTAAAACAGATTTTCACGGCGTCGGTAAGATCTTCGGGATTCAAATGGTTTTAGATATCACACAGTTTGTATATGGTAAGGTATCTTAAACAGTTAATTACATGTCACATATTTATTTTTTTCAGTTTCCATATTAGATGCCATAGCAAATCAAAGATCATATAATAAAATAAGTCAAAAAACCCAAATATGGGAAAAAAGAGAGCTGAAGAAATGGTGATTTGAGCACCTATGATTTCTCATAGTTGTTTTTTGAGGGTGAGTGTTCAATTCTAATAGAAAAGATTGTTGTTGTGGTATTTTAGAATCTCACCATAATGTGTTTGGCACAATATAGCCCGGTTGGAGCTGATGTGACATAAACCTTAATTTCATTTTATTATTTGGAATTTAAAATTCAGTTTAGTATAGTAAAACTGTGAAGTACATGTATGTGCACAGACAGAATCTTACTTATGTCCAGATACATGTAGATATGACTATCTCATCTGTGGGGACCTACGGTGACCAAGTGGGTTAGACACTGGTTCGCATATTTTAAGGTCGCGGGTTTGCAGAAAGACAATGCAGAACGGAGGGCCTTACAAGGACAGCTGTCTAGTCGTTCAGATTGAACAAAAAAACGTGGTCCCGTGTACACATTGGCGTGCATGTAAAATAGCCCCTGGCAGTTAGAATTTGATACAAGAGTAGGCCTTAGGGTCACGGTACCCGGCAAAATTTCTCTCATAGCACACTGTAAGGCATATGCCCAACCTCATTAGCCCAGTCGGAGCTGAACAGTAGGACGCCGAACCCCATTCCATTTCATTTTTTTCATTTTGTCTCATCTGTGACAAAGCAAACCAACACATTACAATACAATGTAATTAAATTAAAACTTTCATCTTTTAACCGTCGAGTCGATTTAAGTCAACTAATACATAGTATGTTTTTTTTCTCCGTTAACTACATCAGAAAGATCAAGACAGTTGAAAATGGCTATTCATATTATGGAAACTTTTTCTCACAGAGCTTGATAATCAGGTAAAATGTAAGTAACATACATATTTGTATTTTTAATCATCAACTAGTTCTATACACTTGCTTGGTAATCTAGTTATTCTTCTTGGGGCAATGCCTAGGACTCAGCTATTTCAAGTACTTGGCATGCTTGATTTTTGCCAATCACATCCATTACAGTAAATAGCAGTAAAATAATGATGGGCAATATTTTACTTTTCAAATAGATTTCAATAGATTTTAAAGGGAAATATCCAATTTGTTGTCAATGGAAATAAAATAAGAATGGGTCCAAAAATAATTAGACATTGCCAAGTAAATAGGTGCTGCCAATGATGTAGTAGGGAATCTGGATTTGCAGACAATACATGTATGAACCGGGTGAATAGTTGACCTATTATGAGACTTCAGTCCCAAATCTCAAGACTTTTTTCTGACTTGGCCTGACAATGACAGCTGTCTAGTCCTTCCGATGAGACGAATATTGGAATGCACGTAAAAGATCCCCTGGCAGTTGGAATTCGATATAAGAATAGATGATAGTGCCGCTGCCCGGGCAAAAATTCCCTCATAGCACACTGTGTGGCATATGCCCGTCATTATTAGCCCAGTATAGGAGCAGAACAGTAGGACGTTAAACCCCATTTCATTTCATTTTTCTGACTTTTAACCCATTTGATTTGAGCATAATAATCTGCCTGGGTCTTTAAGTGGACAAGACACAATAAGCGTTACGCAAAGTTGAAACCAAATAGAGACTCAGTCTCGATGTGGCAAAATAAATTGTTTATTTAAACATTGTATTCTTATTGCCTACTTTTTATTTTTTAGGCTGGAACACCCTTGAAAGAGTATCCTGTAATCTTGATGCTTTGCTTCTTTTATTTATAAAATATTCATTTTGTTTGGGTTTTTTTTAATGAGGAAAAGGCTCTACATCATTTTATTACTCCTGCAAAATAGAGCAATTTTCTTTTGTTAGTTTTCTGTGTATGCTAGTTATTTCTAGATGCCTCACAAATCACTTGTAGTGTGATTTTGTAGCATTTTTCAGTTTTTGAAATTGTTTCAATTTAGTGCATAATTAATCTTATTAGTGCTTAGTTTGGATGTTATTAAATTTAGATATATTTGAATTATATATTTTGGGGTATGGGGTAGGGATACTGTGTACATATCTTTATATTCTCAGTTCTTGTTATGGGGTAAAGAACAATTTAAATAGCTATTTTATATTTTGTGATGGGTAAAGTGTGTGGGGCAAAAAACAATTTAAATAGCTATTTTATATTTTGTGATGGGTAAAGTGGGGGGGGGGAGGGGTCATTATATATAACACAATATAATTTGTATTAGAATTGAAGTCTCTGTTTTTCTGTTAACATTTCAAATATCTATTTAGTTTTGATGTATTAATTTACTTTTTCCTATGATTTTATGAATAAATAATAATCTTACAAAATTTTTTTTTGTTTCCTTCTTTTATCAAACTTTACAGGTCTAACAGAGCAAAGAGAGGGGTCCTGCATAGAAAGGTTGCTATGCTGGATATAAATTGGGGAAAAATACAACACAAGTTTTTGATGATGGTTATACACAAGTTTGTATGAAACCACACAAGTTTCAGAAATTTCAACACAAGTTTCAGAAATTTTAACACAAGTTTCAGAAATTTCAACACAAGTTTCAGAAATTTCAACACAAGTTTCAACACAAGTATTGTGTAGATTTCACACAAGTTTCAACACAAGTTTTGTGTTGTTTGATACATTTTAACACAAGTTTTGTGTTGTTTGATACATTTTAACACAAGTTTTGTGTTGTTTCAACATTTAACACAAGTTTTGTGTTGTTTTAACACAAGTTTGTGTTGTTAAATAGAGATACCTAACTTGTGTTGAATTTAACACAAGTTTGTGTTCTTTCAACACAAGTTTTTTTTCAGTGTAGAACTCGAACCTTTTAAAATACTAATTACACAAAAACCTTCTAAAATACTTACACCCAAACTGTCTAAAATACCTCCTAAATTACTACCATCGGAGCTTCCAAACCTGAAGACAAACAACCTGGAAACGTTTTTACAGGGTTATATGTTTGTAAATCAGAGAGAGAGGAGTTACATAATTTAAATTCAGATATCTACTGACTAAAATACAAACATATATTTTAGGTTTGGATAGCATTGTACTCAAGACTGGTTTCATAGATGAAATGATAATCTTCCATCTAAATGACTCAAGTACGGAACGAATTAGACACAATTTTAGAGAAATTCTGGGCTTTTATATTCTCGGTCAACGTTTATTCTATCGTGATTTTGATCAGTAAGTAGTTCTGTATTTACTTACTTATCTTTGGCACACACAATGCTATATTATAGTGCTCTATTTGCTCTATTTACTGTTCTAATCCTCTCTCCCTCTCTCTTTCTATTTCTCTCTCTCTCTCTCTATCTCTCTCTCTTCAACCAATGTATAGACAACACATCTTGTTTATTTGGGGCGGATCCAAAATTTAAGTTTCACCGGGTTACAAACGATTATGTATTCTGAACTATTTCAAATGGGACTGATTTCAAATAAAGAGTTATTTGTCTTTTTTTTTTAAGAATTTCAGTATATAATTTAAAAACACAAAAATCCAGAGTTATTGTACGTTTGCAATCTTTGAGGGCTTCCTTTCTTATCTACGCCATAGACATGGGTATAGGTACGTATTGTCTCTTGTTTTTGTTTTTTTGATTTTGCCATGTTTTTGGAACGTGGCATTTTGTCCAGAACGAGGCTTGGTAACACGGCCCCGTTTACTAAACGCAGTTTTCTTTTCCAAGATAATTATTAGCGGTATTTGCTATCACCAAAAATAGAGTCACACAAATAATGTTCCGACCATCACGTGACTAATGACAGATCTACAAATTAGATTATTTATTGGGACATGATATAATTCATTATTATGATTTACTTTACTGGAATTCTGTCGTGTATAATAAACGCTTCCCAAGCGAAACAACACAAAACAATATCACATGACAAAAAAAATCATCTGGTGGTCGAGGCCCACGAGCTCGCTTTGCCCGACAGACGTGATAAACTAGCATTGCAGTGAGCTACATATTTCATATAATACCATATTTAGACCATATCATGAACATCTGTATTTACTGAAAACTAAAGTTATTCCATCATTCAGGTTTCAGATGCTGGCATCAGTCATGACAGTATTGCGAATACCCCTTTGTTTACTACTCCACCCTGGACTATATGGCCACCAAAGATCGATTTAGATCTAACGAAAAACACCATGAAAGATACTAGTTCCACGGTGTTTCAATCTCTCTTTCCAGAGTTAAGGTCTGAATATGCTCCCATTTACACAGATGGTTCCAAAGATGGTGATCGGGTGGGTTCGGCTACCGTCACGCCATCTGGAATCATTTCTGTCAGATTTCCATCCGCCGCTTCCATATTTACTGCTGAGCTCTAAGCCATTTTTCAGGCTTTGGAATTCATGCAATCATCTTCTAATTTAAGACACATCATATTTACTGATTCTTTATCCTCTTTACAGACAATAAACAGCTTGTCCCTTTAGTAGCAGACATTTATCTTATGCTACTATCTCACGAGTTTCTTTTTTGGTTTTAAATATTTGTATGCATAAAAGATTGATTTTATTTTTAATTTTACTTACAGTGATATTGTTTTTATTTATGCATATAATTTTTTTTCTGTGATATCATTTAGCCTGTCTCGAAATAATCACCGTGTGTTTGGCGCAATATAGCCCGGTTGGAGCTGATGTGCCATTAAACCACATTTCATTTCATTTCCTTATAGGTACGTATTGTCTCTTGTTGATTTACATGACATAACCCCACATTTATAATTCGCTCTCGTCGAATGTCTGTCCCCTAGGTCAACCATTATTCCTATCCTTGACACAACTACCGAGCCTTCTATCAGTTGCAGACAATAATAATCAAGAAAAGCTATAAAGACTCATCCTGTGACATTATGAATCGTACAGACTATATCTCTCAGGCAGAGAAACAGCTAAACAACCCTAACAAAATACACGAAATTAGACCAAAATATCTTTAAGGACAGCGTCACTTTCATAAACAAAATCTTATATGATCTGCTAGACAAAGAATATATATTTATTCGCTAAATCTGACTGCCGACATCTACATCGTTATAGGCTATGGGTACAATAAGGACATCGATATTTGACTGTAATGCGGACTTCGATATTTTCGACTTTTTTTACTGACATAACGTTGTGTAATTTTACTATAATTAATCTGTAGAACATCTTATGTTTATATAAAAGTAGCACATTACTAATACAAAATTCACCAGTGTTTATCTGTAATTGTGTGTTATATAACAGTAACACATTACTAATACAAAATTCACCAGTGTTTATCTGTAGAAAATCTTATGTTTATATAAAAGTAGCACATTACTAATACAAAATTCACTAGTGTTTATCTGTAATTGTGTGTTATATAACAGTAACACATTATTTATACAAAGTTCACTATAACATTATCACATTGCTAATACAAACCTCACTGAACTAATAAATATTCGGTACTTAAACTAAATGGCATTTGTATTCCAGAGAATGATGACGTGTGAGTTATAATGAGTTATAATGTTCATGGGTAAGGTACAATGCTCATATCTATGACTTCAAATGGTCTGTTTTATATAATCAGGCTAGAATAAACAGGTTTACATGGTTCATACAGTCGTTCAATTAACTATATATCTATGGTATTTCAGAGAGCGGAAACGATAGTATGGTACGTCAAACTACATGGCATAACAACATAGAAGATGACAGTGGTACAATGCAATATACTGTGTCATCCCATGGGAATAACAATAGTCTAAACAATGATCATTTGCAGCCTAAAGATGTCAGTCGATTAGATTCTAATGACATTATTATGATCAGTACTGGTGCAGTAATATTTATATTTGCTGTCATCGCATTTTGGATTGGTTACAAAAAATGGTTGAAATATCGAAGAGCGCGCACTTTTCAACAGATGGCACCAAAGAGTAATATGGAAAGGCACCAGGGAACCGCACCACACTCTAACAATTACACGGGACAAACCTATAGACAGGACACACAAACAATTACACGGGACAAACCTATGGACACCTCGCGCTAACAATTACATAGGACAAACCTATGGACAGGACAGAATAAACACACACCACCAACAACAAACCTATAGATCAGATCAAGTGAATGGATCCCGGAGTTTGACGTAAGCGTCCTAAATAAATGCATTTCATTACGGTTGGTGTAAATGTTTAGATCAATCATTATATAGGATCGGCAAGCTGCACTAGGACCTCAAGATTACTGCAAGAACCTTGAAGTGACCTCATTTTCCATTTCCTACCAGCTTACTACGTAGTATGATAATACTCAGCGGTAGAGTCTATGAGACTATAAATAGCCATCGCACGTGCAATTCTCTACACATCTATCAACTATTACATCCGTAAAAAAGCTATTGTTGACGATTCTGAATAGCAGTAATATTTAGTTTATTGGTTATTACAGCACCTTTACAAATTACGTTCGTTTTATTTTTTAAATTGCTTTATCATTAACTATACCGTTAGGAGCGGCATCTTTTGGTTTAGTACAAATAATATCTCTGAAATACTTGCGTTGGGCAAGAACATGATACTAGCAGTAGTTTAATTTTTCTTTTACAAGGTTCTTAAAACAATTGATGAGTTGCCCAACGTGCGTGTTTCTAAATTCAATTTATTGTTCCAGCTTTCTGTTATGTTTCGTAAAAAAATAGTCTTGATTATCCCAACCTGTCAATCAAACATAAAATGATCGGTAGACTGGTTAAGCGAGACTACTTTCAAAACAAGGGCACCTAACCTTTTATTACTCACCTGTGCCCGGATGTTATGGCCGACACTCGTAACTATCTTGCAGTGTATCATTTATGGCTGATTAAATGGTCATAGCTTATTAAGTACAACATGACCGTTTATTTCGCGATTATAAATGTTTGAAACTGATTTAAGGCTTGGTGTGTATATAAATATTGTGGTGTAATTGTCGAGATATTTAGAGATATTTATTTATTGTGGGGCACCCTAACAGTGATAAAATTCCAATGGTAGCGTTTTATGTCACAATGGGCTATAAATAAACCCATTATAAATGTTTAAATATAAGATAAAGTGACATCGCTTTAATGTAAGCGTAATGTAAGCGTAATTTAGTCTGTTGTCATATGGCGATCGGACTTTATTGTTAAAACGGACACGTTTTATGTAAACAATAATAGTCACTTTAAGCGAACGTGGATTCCTTTTAGAATGATACACACTTCAAAGTGAGAGAATGCCGCTTTCAAACAAATACATAATTATGTTATTCTCACCTATAATCATATATTAAACATTTAGCAATGACTTTTACGCTTGATATGCCTAGTTATATTAATAACATGGTAGTGTACTTCATGTCATGTTTTTACTTGTGTATATTATTGTTCTCCTGGTGTAATTAATACTGTTATCTGATTAATGTTTATAATGTTATTTTATGTTGTATAACCCTATTAAGTTGGCATGATGGTTGGAAGGTGTTTTTCTATTATTTGTAACATTTTATATTTTCGTTATTACTGCCTAATTCTAATTGAACAGTTATTAAGTTGTGATTATTAATGCTAGTCTGATTAAAGGCTCAATACCACTCTCGTTGTAACTGAATAATGTGTCCTAATCTTTATTCTGGTCAACAAATTGTACTAATTTACAATATTCCAGTTAATTGATGATACAAATTTCATCTTAACACACCTTATTTAAAAATTTTGAAAAATATTTTCGAACCCTCTGGACAAGTAAAATAGGATGTAATGGATAATTTACACAACAGGTAGGACACTTAAACATCTAGTACTTAGATAGAGGTATTATTTATTTTCTGGAGCTTTCAAGCCAGCAAGAGTGTTATTGTCCCTTTAAGAAGTGATATTATAATGGTGTTATAATCTGCTATCGCTAATATAATTAATGCTTCTTACTTTATATACCGGAACATAAATATACATATATCGTCATACAGTACTGACAGGCCAGTTACTGCACTTAGTAAGGGATTCTAACTAGTGACTGCTTTCAATGTACAAATTTTGTAATATTTAAGGAAAATCAGATAAAAAGATAAAAAATAAATGTAATTAAAACTGACATGTCGATAGATGAACAATGCATAGAAGATTAAACAATATAATAAATCAACAAAAACAATAGATGGGATTAACGTCGTTACCAATGAAAGGCTTGAAAAGTTGTGACAGGTTAACGACTTACTAGGAAGTTGACCTTAAAGTGTTTAATTTAAGAAGCATTAATTATATTAGCAATAGCAGATTATCACACCATTATAATATGGTGAAACACTATTAAGGTTGCTCTTTGATTTTTAGTACTGATTATCTGTTATTATCCTACTTAAGGACAGTTATTGTTATTGTTTGTATTATTTATTGTTATTGTAGGTGCTTCTAATTATTTTAATGGTTTCTCCTAATTATTAATTAAGTTGGTGTAAGCTAAAATATATATAAATAGGCTGACTAGATGGATATTTATCATTAACTTGAAAACATGACCTGTATGTGTTACGAAACGTCGTTATTAAATAATAGAGAAGTAGTTATATCCATATATATACCCTGTGTTGTGTTTTGTTATGAATATGCATAACTTGTATTGGATCTAATGGAATATATCCGACATGTTATGTACACGACTTCTTAATTAATATTTAGTTTATGGTTCTTTGTCTTGTAGCAACCAAAAGTTTCCAGCTTGGCTCTCCAGTCCGACATACATGATCGCCCGACCTTCTTAACTCGAGACCTGCTAGACGCCCCACCTTGTCTCATCTGCTGATCTCGTTTCCATTCTGGGTTTATAAACCCTTCTAGACAACGAATCTCACAATATTACACATCTGGCTACTGCATTATATCAGATTTAACATTCAGTACAGATTGCTTATAAGACAAAGGACATTACATAACTCAAGCCAGCCATAAGTTTATATTATGGTAATGGGTAATGACTAATGAGTTCCATCAGAACCATCATGGGCGTCAATCGGCGACATAACTATATTTAATCTATTCTGCTTCCATGTGTCGAGATAGCACAACTATGGAAGACCAAACAGCTCTTTATTCAGTGTTCTAAGTTCTTAGTTCTTAGTTCTTAATTGATTTTCTAAAACAAAAATGATCTTTATGTTAAAATACAATTAAGTTAAAAAAATCATTTTACAAATCTGATATGAAATATGTTTGATTTGTGAAACAATATTGATTTTAAGATACAAATATTAATTTTACTGTACAAATGTCGAAATACGACAACAAATGAAGAAATAAGAATTAAGGACTATGAGTTAAGAACTAAGAATTAAGAACACTGAATAAAAAGCTGTTTGGTCTTCCATAATAACGAGGACTTCGCTACGCTCTTACCTCTTGCAAAAATTCTATAGGGCTTGGTAAGGTCGCGATGAAATGCGGAAAAAATTGATAAGGAGTCCGTGGAACAATAATCTTTATAGTTTATGTCGACGTGTAACTAACTGTAAGTCAGATAACACCCTATCGGCGTGGTTATTATTTGAAATATAACATGCCGGTTTCGCCCTTTAGATTTAGCCTATATTTCGAATATCAACCTGGACATCATAATATAACACCATTCCACTCAAAGGTCAATTCATCGGTTGAGTTTAAAACATAGCTATGATACACCTCGATCCATTTCCTCACAAACTGCCCACATAGCCATTAGCATTGTAATATATATGTTTAAAGTTAGTTATATAGAACTGGACAGGATCTCCAGCACCTCGTCAGCTCCTATACCAAAATTCGTATGAGACATAGAATTTCTCTGATTATTGGTGATAGAAGTAATATCACCATCCTGTCTATTGTATCATTACCAGCACCGTGATAATAATATACGTAATGGGTAGGAATAATGGATAAATCGTACAATCTAGTAACTCCAGGTCGATTTGTATAACTTGAATCATATACGTGTTCAACCTCAATGTCAAGTACCACAGTTATAATATGGAAGAGGCCAGTTTGTTTTATAACATATACGAATTTTGTTCCCCCATATAATATCTTTAATAATTCTATTTACCATAATAAACATCAAATAACATCTGAATGTTAAAGTCATTAACAATATTCATTATAAAAATCGTTGAAATGTTCCAATTAATAAACCTAGTGAATGTTATCCATGAAGCTACCTGTTAAAACATACCCCTTTCACTAAATGCCCTTTAAAGATAATAATACTAGATATGTACATGGCGATATTCATAATAACAATAGTTTTGTTTACTATAATAAAGATGCATTATGTAAGAGCTAAATCCGTCCATTCCAAGTCTTGTTGTTCGCTTCAAATATTATATAAATTATTATTTTGACATTTATTCACATGACAAGCCTTTAATTAACTCTCTGGATCATCTGATGGCGGAGATTCACATGACAAGCCTTTAATTAACTCTATAGATCATCTGATGACGGGGATTCACATGACAAGCCTTTAATTAACTCTATAGATCATCTGATGGCGAAGATTCACATGACAAGCCTTTAATTAGCTCTCTAGATCATCTGATGGCGGAGTATCACATGACAAGCCTTTAATTAACTCTATAGATCATCTGATGGCGGAGATTCACATGACAAGCCTTTAATCAACTCTATAGATCATCTGATGGCGGAGATTCACATGACAAGCCTTTAATCAACTCTATAGATCATCTGATGGCGGAGATTCACATGACAAGCCTTTAATTAACTCTATAGACCATCTGATGGCGGAGATTCACATGACAAGCCTTTAATTAACTCTATAGATCATCTGATGGCGGAGATTCACATGACAAGCCTTTAATTAACTCTATAGATCATCTGATGGCGGAGATTCACATGACAAGCCTTTAATTAACTCTATAGATCATCTGATGGCGGAGATTCACATGACAAGCCTTTAATTAACTCTATAGATCATCTGATGGCGGAGATTCACATGACAAGCCTTTAATTAACTCTATAGACCATCTGATGGCGGAGATTCACATGACAAGCCTTTAATTAACTCTATAGATCATCTGATGGCGGAGATTCACATGACAAGCCTTTAATTAACTCTATAGACCATCTGATGGCGGAGATTCACATGACAAGCCTTTAATTAACTCTATAGATCATCTGATGGCGGAGATTCACATGACAAGCCTTTAATTAACTCTATAGATCATCTGATGGCGGAGATTCACACGACAAGCCTGTAATCAACTCTCTAGATCATCGTATGGCGGAAATTCATGAGGATTAATAATTTAATTTAAACAGATATCTCGAATAACAAGTACCGATGCTAAGATAATCCACAATTTGTGTCTCGTATTGCCAAAACATCAATCAGTGATAACTTCGCTGAGAATAAAATAATTTGAATGAATTTACAATAATATATTCATTTTTCCTTATCTATCTATGATAGATCCAACTGTCAGCTCTTACATACATTTTACAAAAAAAAACACATTAAAAATCATTTACAATATTATCTTTTACCCATATAATTATCTGGGTTACAAAGTATAAATGAATTTCATGTGACTTTCTTTCATCTTTGTTTCAATAAACTCATCAAACCTTTCATTGTCGGCTACCGTTATCCAATTCTTCCAATCTCCAACTTGTCCTGTAAGAAAAGACGAAGTGTTTATCCTGTTATAAACCCTAACCCTAACCCTAGCCCTATTTAAAGAATCATCTGAAAATAGCCTACACGAAGTCAGTAATCACCAAATTACCGAACTTAGGTTTAGCGTTCAAATGTTATGACGGTTCAACCCAATTACAAAAGGTCATAGGTCAATTACATAGGGAATAGTAGGGTCTTGGCAAAAGGTCATAGGTCAATTACATAGGGAATAGTATAGTCTTCTTGATAGAAGGTCATAGTTCAATTTATTGTATTATTGCTGTACGTTAGCCTCGAGTTGGGATCACTAAATCTCCAGGTCTATTATATTTTCTTGGTAGCTATTAGAAATTGTAATGGTTGTTTAAAAAAACGAAAACAATCCCCACAATACCTCGTGTACGACATAAATGTCACAATTGTGTAAGCTAACCTTTTCTGAGCATACCGGATCCTTCCTTCCAGGTAATATTCAAGGCATTCTCTTTGAAGTTTTCTGCAATTGATTTCATTTTACTAAAACTGCAGGCATCAGCAATGGCGGCACAGAGTTCATCTGTTACATCAAGCTCCAGAAACTGTGCTACTTCCTTTATATATTTTACAGGATTCTTAAAAATTATCATGAAATAAAAGTAGAAAAAGTTAATACTAAAACCATGGTAACAAGCAAGGTGGGTGTATATATTTTACCGGATTCTTACAAATAATCATAAAATAAAAGTTGAAACGGTTATTACTGAAACCATGGTAAGAATAATTTAATCTATTATCTTGACAACAGAGTCTACGATCTGGCATACCTCTCTAGATTTACCCATATCCAAACACATGTCGTGCAATAGCGCTGAATGGTGTTCTTTGACACTATCATTAACTGTAATTCTTTTTATACGGAATTATAGTAAAATACACTGCAGCAGAGGAAGTAATATTGGCAGCGACCCCTTTCCATACTTTATTGGCATAAGAAATTCTGGAATTAATATCGGCAGCGATCCCCTTTCATACTTTATTGGCATAAGAAATTCTGGAATGTCAACGAGTCCGACTGCACAACAGTTTGGCCCCCATCCTTCGACCAGCAGTCGATTACTGCAAACACATCAACAGATCATTAAGGTTCCGATAGTAGCCCTCGCTGTACGTCTGCAAACGTTCATGCAGCAGTACTTAGTTTTATTATTATTATTATTATTATTATTATACAACACTTATATAGCGCTATCTTCCACATACGTGTTCAGGTGCGCTTTACAATAAATACATGTATAGAAAATAGAAAATCAGTAAAAAAAATAATAATTATAGAAACAGTAATGGGAGAGGGAACGCCCCTATCCTACAGAACTGTTCGTATTCCGCTCAGATCGGTTGGATATGGCGTTAAGAGAGACTCATCTGACGACCTCTCTAGTCACGTGACCATAACCACATCACCAATGGAACATGCTGCCAAGGCGTACAATTCACTGGTCGTATGATAGTCGCATATATAGATATACACTTTATTTAAGATATAATAAAATACCCTTTTCATATCTTCATAAGCTATTGCTATTATTGGTGTCTCACCCTTGTCAACGATATCCTCCCATTCTTTAATATAGTCACCCCATTTACCATAGGCCACTGTAATAAAATATAAAACAAATTATTTCCAATTATTACTAACGAGATCTAAAACTTTAAATACCTTGAAAAAGAAATGCAATAATACAATCGCAGTAAAAAGCACATAGCTGGACCATTTCACATTCCAACTGTAGCTCGTTTTTTCGTCCTTTGGTATACAGCTTTCGTGGCCAGATTAATGGAGGGGGGGGGGTAACTCTTCGTGACGTATAACTATTGAAATGATGCTTTCCGGTTTATAGTATTTATCAGCTACCTATATAGAATTTTCAAATCAGGAAAACGTTTCATTTATTAACGGACATAATAACGCTAATCTGAAATAAAATGAAATAAAATGGAGTTTAATATCCCACTTTTCTACACCGACTGGGTTAATGGAGACAGGCATGTGCCATAGTGTGGTATGAGGGAGATTTTGCCCGGGCAGCGGCACTGCGGTCTATTCTTATTTTGAATTCCAATTGTCAAGGGTTCTTTTACGTGCACGAGATCTCGGTTTTTCGGCCCATCCGAACGACTATAGGTTGTCCCTTGCCAGTCCCCCCTCCCCCATCCTGCACCATTGACATGGGAAATCTCAATGAACTGTCTTGGTCAACACCGGCATCGAAGACGGGACCTGACCTCTTGGTTAGCGAGCTAAAGTCTTACTCATGGAGCCACGGCGGTTCAGTGCTGTGCTAAGATATTAATATTTAAACATTACCCTTTTCACGTAAAAACAGATCAAGAAAATCCTCGAACCTTCCCTCATACCCATTGGTTCGTTTTATCCCCGTGATATGACAATACAAGGAAACTGCTACATCTTTAGGATTTCGATACACGTAGACAATTTTAGTTTTCTTGGTAAAGATCTGTTTTGGGAGATGTTTTATGCTGAGGTGGGTATTGAGTAACCTTGGAGATGGAAGTTTATCCATGATTCCAGTCTCTGTAAATTCCAACATTTGGCACTCCTTGTCGTCTTTCGAGTGTTCGGGTGATCTACAAATGAGCATGCGCACTATCTCCCAAACCCAGTGCGTACCTACAACAGATGAAATAAAAGAATGTTTACAAAAGTGAAATGGAACAAATATGTCTGACTTTAGTTAATCGTTGTAATGATATCTGTCACACTTTGTTATTATACTACATGCATGTAAGTTCAATAGGAGATTATTATGCTATCTGTCTAAAGTGGGTACCCTAAGGTGGTTACAGCCACTGCTGTTTAAAGGGGGAATACCCTCTACTGTCTAAAGGGGGGATACCCACTACTGTCTGAAGGCGGTAACACCCTCTACTGTCTAAAGGCGGTAACACCCTCTACTGTCTAAAGGCGGTAACACCATGTACTGTCTAGGGGATAAGGGGGTAACCCCATCTACTTTTACATGCCATACGTTAATTATTCCAAACGAATTCAGGTGCGCCATACCAGCAAAACCAGCAAAAACATGTGACGCACTGCAAGGGTCAGATGCTTGGCACATCAATGTCACGCAAGAAATTAAACGTTTATTGAACACCGGGCGATTTCAGAACAAAGGTCAATCTTTCCCTGTTTGGGACATTAACGACGGTCATTTTAAACTGAAAAAGATTAATGTGAAAGAAGATAACATTCATTAAAATGTTTTCTATCAAAGGGATAATTTAAAACAGAATTTTAGTCAAGATAAACTTTATTGTATGAAATGGCCGACGGGGAACAGCATACAATTACACAAATAACATTAAAACATATATAAAATAATAAAAGTGAAAATGATGTAGTAACAAGCAAAAATGCTTATAGAAATCTGTTTCCGGGGATGCAATGTACCACTCATTCTAATCATCCAATAGAGGGTTTGGGGTTAGGGACAGCGGACAACTTCCTTCATAGCACGGCGTATACCCATCTTCATTAAAGATACATTATTTAAAAATAAGATAAAAAAAAAACATTGCCATTCTTGCTATAAATGTTCAAATAGATTATGAAAAATGGATATATTGAAAATTTCATTTAAATTATTTCATTCTGATTGAAGTTGTCAATGTTAGTAGTTTTGACAAGATGTATGCATTGATTGTTTATTATTAGGTGGGGGGAGTTAATCTCAAAATTGGAGTGACCCCAAACAAATTGCAAAAGAAGCCAATGCAGTTTGGTTCAATCATATTAATATTAGACAGTATCATACTCCAATTCGGTCGAAGTGTGCCAAGGCGAAATGACGTAATTAACATAATTCAATATGGCGGTCTCAAGGAAGTTTCTGAAAGAGATATCTCGTAACCAGTGCGCTTCAGTGGTGGAACAATAAATATATATTTTATTAAAATCTTACAATACCAAAAGGTAATAGGGGCGAAATGTTCCGGAAATAACAAATTTGACCGAACCAATTTTTAATAAAAATATATTTCACATGGTACCGGCCATTTTGAAAATTTCGTAATAAAAATGTCCTTTATGTGTTTTTCGATGTCTCTGGATTTAAAATGAATTTTGAAATTCCAACATTGGTAGAAATTCAAAATTGCTACCATAATGGAATCCAAATTTGCGGTTTTTAATTTAATCGTTATTTTTCCCTTTTGGATACGACGTGTTACAAATCTTTCACATGGTTTTAGATGTCATCTGGTTGAATTCTGATCTCAAACAATTAATTTCGAAATTCAAAATGGAGGATTTTTAAATTTATCGTTATATTCTTCCGTTAAAGATGGCTTGTAATATGTCTTATATAAGGTTTTTGAGGTTACTGGGTTCAATTCTAACTTTTAAAACTAACTTTGAATAGCCCAAAAGATATAAATTCAAAACGGCAATGAAAATTGAATCCATAGTGGAGATTTTTTCTTTTGTTTTTAAAAAATATCTAATAAGGTTTTCAGGTTTACTAAATTCTATTTTCGGTTCGAAATTAAATTTAAGAATTTCAAACATCTGTTTAGCGTTCCTTTTTCAAGTGCAATTTTCTTTATTTGGTATTTGATATCACTAGGGTTAAAAGTTGTTTCGATGTATCTAGTTGTTAAGAATTTGCGCCCGAATATTAGGTCAGAAATGGTTATGCGATCCGTGTTTACAGCCCTTGCGGTATCAATTCCATGGATGGACTGAAAACGATTATCGTAGTTTCAAGGGTCTCTTAACTAGTTAATTTACGTTGTTGTTAATGAATTGTTAAGAATGCCACACGTTATGTATGTGCATAAGCTGGAAATACCATGATATACCATAGAAAGTATTAACATACAGTTTTTCAAAAACATTTCGCGCCCGGTTGTAGAGACCCCCCCCCCCTCATGTTCCCCACATAGTGTGGGTACTCTTAACGGAGCAAGGTTCAGTTCCCCCGAGTCCGCACCTGGTATTTTATAGACCGATAGTAACCACGGGTTTATTTAAGAAAATACACATTAAAAGTAACTAAGTCGCTATTCTTTGGTACCTAGTAACGGACACAAATGGGTGACAACGCATATAATAATGTAATATGAATGAATATAAACAGATTTACATTCAATCGTTTCTGTTTTTATACGTCCACATTTTCATGTGGACGTTTATTGTCGTCGCCCCTGTCCGTCCATCCACAATTTGTTTGCGGACACTCTACAGGTCATAATTCTTATCCGATTTTTACGAAACTTGAAATATAGGTTTATCTCCAAAAGATATTGGCATGTATCGGATCGAAACTTCATGGATTATGGCCCTGTACGAAAAATCCCGTGTTTAGCTTGTGGGCCCTATAGAGGTCACAATTTTTATCCGATTTTGTTGACACTTGAAATGTAAGTTTATAACCCAAAGATCTCGGTCCTTTCGATATTCGCGCATATCGGACCGTAACTTCCTGAATTATGGCCCCTGATTGTACGAAAAATCGCGTTTTTAGCTTGTGGACCCTATAGAGGTCATAAATTTTATCCGATTTAAAAAACGTTTTAGTATATCACCATTACACCCTAAGGACGGCTGAGTTCGAATTTCGTGAAAATCGTCCCAAAACTGGCAGACAAAATGGCCGCCCCTCTATCTCAAATAGCGTAAAAATATGGTATATCAAGGTTGTGGACCCTATAGAGGTCACAATTTTTATCCAATTTTCTTGAAACTTGAAATATAAGTTTATAACCCAAAGATCTCGGTTCCTTTCGTTATTTGCGCATATCGAATTGAATTTCCTGAATTATGGCCCTTGATGGTAGGAAAAATCACTTTCTTTTTTAGTTTGTTCTCTATCCATCTCTCGAAAATGTGGGCGTATCCTGCCTGGCAGCCACTGGTTACAGTAATTTCTAATTGAGTCCGAATTGAATGGCAGTCTTTGGCGTCTGGTTATTATAGTCTATACCGGTAGTATTCTCCTACATGGGGTATGTTTAGCCTCGTCCATCGAGTCGCTTCAAAAGTATTCTGGCACGCGAATAGTGTGCCAATCTTAAAATGTTCATTTTTTCTTAAATATTGGATATTAGAAGCCCGACTTTTCACGGTATTATAACAACATCAATGTTTATTTAAGTCGTGTTCGCAATATCAAAGATTATGGATGATATTGAGTTGAAGACTTGACTCCTTTAAACAACATTTAAATATGGCCTACCACCTATAGCACTTTAACCTCGAACTTTTCGATAAAACGGACACGTTTGTTCCGCATATGAATTAATTGAGAAGGACAAATACAACTTGTAGAACCAGATATTTAAAGTAAGTTTACGAAAATACACATTTAAACAACATTTAAATATATTCTACCACCTGTAAATAACCTAAAAATAATTGTTATTATTGGAATTTTCCATTAAACATAAACTTTCTTGTATCTATAAAATACTAGATTAAAATACCAATCGATAATTTGTAACACGTTTAACATCATATCTTTCTACACGAATTAACAATAAATTGTTCATTTGGGTAAAACGGAAACATTTTGTATACCTGTCAAATAATATACCAATTGTTTATATTATAAGTTAAGGTCTACCGTGTAATACGGTAATTTGCAACACGTTTTAACATCATATCTTTCTACATGACATATCAATAAATTATTCATTGGATAAAACGGAAACATTTTGTTTTATAACTGTAAAATAATATACGAATTATCATTTTATACTGCGTATTTTTAGTGATTATTAAAGTAATTGAGTAATGTGGGAATTTGAAACACGTTTTAACATCCTATCTTTCCCTTCCCTTTTCAGTGATATACTGAAAGGAGTATGGTAGTTTCAGGGGTCCCTAAATTAGTTAATGTTGCGTAGTGATGAATTGACGTCGTTTTTGATGAATTTTTAAGATATAAGCATAAGCTAAAACACCAGGACATAGTCTAGAAAGCACCATTTACAGTCGGTTTATTGAAAACAAATTCGAGTCTGGTTGACGAGAACCCCATCGATCCCCTCAAGGAGCAAAGATCAGCCCGTCCCTGGCATCATATATGTAATGTCTCAAAAAAAAAAGTATTACCGTGGCCATTGCACGACCTTGTCGTAACATGAATAACATTTTTAAATGAACCTGTGTTTACTATTGGTCTAGAGTCTAGATGATACCAGATACGGACCGGGTCCCAAAGATTCCTGAATCCCGGCGCGAAATATCTTTTGAAAAACGGACTGTAAATTTATGTTTTAAATAATGTGTCCTGATGTTTCTAGGTTACGCACAAATTTGATGTGTCACAATCTTATCGTAAGTTAACTTTTGAACCTACCTAATATAGAATTCAGTTATCCCGAAAACCTTATTTTACAAGCAATATCCACACAAACAAAAATCGCAATTTTGGATTCTATTTTGATTGTCGTTTTAAATCTACACCATCTTGGCTAGGTTTCTGATTAGAAACTGAACTCAGCAACCTCAAAATCCTTACATAAGACATATTACAAGCCATATCCAACAGAAACAAATGACGATTAAATAAAATTCAGCCATTTTGAATTTCATTTTTAATTTCTGCCGTCATGGATCCTCGAAATTGATCAGAATTGAATCCAATCCAGCGACATTGACAACCACAT